CGGGGCAAACCGCCCTGCTTCCCCCCCCCCCCCGCATTTTCCTGCCCGTGTGACCGGGGCCCTCTATAGTCTGACGTTTATTGTTAACGTATAAATTTAAAGCGAAGACACACAACTACAGCCAAATGTGATTGCGATCGCTTGCTTTTTAATTTGATATTTTTATATTATTAACTCTCACGCTTTACTATTTTGATAATAGGGATGTATCAGCAATTTTAAATCTCTGTATTAAGGATCCTCGTTACTCTTAATTTTAGTTTGTTCCTATCCCCTGATCCTGTAGGTTTGTAGTTTAGAAAAGGAATAGAGGCCCTGTTCACATGCGGAATTTGCGGCAGGAGAGGCACGAATGTCGGGTGGCGTATATGGACATGATCACAAGGACACATCTGGCAAGCGTAGCACACCCATCGCCAACCCGTAGTATCCACCCGAAGATCCGGAGTTAAAAAATGCCCGGGAAAGCCTACTAGCAAACATTTTGCTACAGGTCGTCGATGGAATACCTATGTGTGATCACTCAAGAGCGCTTCTCTCGCCATGTTGATGCATGCCGAAAACACGCACCGACAAACAAAACCCCACTTTCCACCGCAGCGTCTGATCACGTTTGGGCGCGGTAAATTGAGCCAGATCGAAAAGCTATGCCTCTCCCCCCCCCCCCGCATTATCTGGCCCATGTGTAAAAGGTAAAGGTTCCCTTGCTCGAAAGCCAGTCGAATCCGACTCTAGGGTTGCGGTGCTCATCTCCGTTTCAAAGCTGAAGAGCCAGCGCTGTCCAAAGACGTTTCCATGGTCATGTGGCCAGTGTTTTTTTAATGTGAACAAAGCAAATATTGTTACACTTGGACTCCTCCTCCCTTGTAGAATCATAGAAGCACAGAGTTGGAAGGGACCTTCTAGTCCAACCCCCTGCTCAATGCAGGATCAGCCTACTGCATCTCTGACAAGTGTTTGTCCAATAGTGGATCTGATGAATGGGGCTATGAGATATGACTAGTGTGCTTGCCAAATGAATGAATATTATCTAGGTATTTCAACGCTACCCAGTTTGATAAAGTTATACACGAAACGAGATGAAATATGCATGGTTCATTGGGATTGATGGCGTTTGAATTACTTCCTGTAAACTGAATACCGGGAAAAAGAATTTGCAAGTCTGTGAAGTATTGGCACAATACACCATGGTCGTTTTCTTCCTTTCAACTTCCATCCAGTGATCTCTCTCTCTCTCTTTGGTTTGCAATATCCAGGTGTGGCCTGGAAGTCTTCCGGAATTGCAATTGGTCTCCAGACTACAGAGGTCAGTTCCCCTGGAGAAAATGACTCCTTTGGAGGTGGGACTCTATGGTGTTATATCCTAGTGAGGTCCTGGCCCCTCTCCAAACCTCACTCTCCCTACACTCCACCATTAAATCTCCAGCAATTTCTCAGCCCAGAGCTGGGAATCCAGGATATGAAACATAGGCAACAACACATGAAAACCAAGAGGCGGGTGATCAGATGCAAACGTTTACTTTTAATAAGATAGCATGCAGTTTAATACAGAATACCTCTCGAGGCAAAACAGCGAGTGGCAATTTGGTAACATTTTTGCAAGACTTTCCCCAACAAAAGCCAAAAGAAGGCAGAAAGAACAGCCAAATCACCGAAAACTCGGGAAAGAAATATAAAGGAAGGACAATGAAAATATAGACCCACAAGAGAGACAGATTTGGACCAACTTATCGGAAACTGTAAGGCCCGCCAAACAACATAGACTTCTGAGGAGAAAAGAGGTGCTCGTCATTTCTGAAATTCAGGTCCAGAAGCAAAACAGTCCAACCCACTTAGCAGGGTCCACAGCTGCCATAGCGGTACCTTCGAGAAAAACCAGGGTAACAGTATGGGTACCACGAACCATAACGGTATCCTCTTCCATAACCGTAGCCATAACCACTTCCGTAACCTCCCCAACCCCCATAAGGGTAACTGCCATATCCGTTAGCACATGGAGAGTATTCTGCCACAGCCACTGACTCAGAAGTGGCTGAGAGAATGGGTCCTGGGATGGTCACGCCGAATGCGGGAGGCTGCACCACCACTTCAGAAGGTGGGATCTGAGTGGCACAGGACGTGTTGATCCCGCAGAAGGCAGAGCTGCAAGGGTTGTAGTAGCAAAGAGCCATCTTGGAAGGACCGGAAGGAACCTGAAAAGAACATCGTTGAGTTGCACATGGGACAATGATCATTTGAGAGAAACATCAGACAGATTAATCTCCTCCCCCCCCCCTCTCTAGCAGAATGAATAGGTAAAGGTAAAGGTTCCCTTGCTCGAAAGCCAGTCGAGTCCGACTCTTGGGTTGCAGTGCTCATCTCCGTTTCAAAGCCGAAGAGCCAGCGCTGTCCGAAGATGTTTCCGTGGTCATGTGGCTGGCATGACTAAACAGTAAGGCGCATGGAACGCTGTTACCTTCCCATCAAAGTGGTACCTATTTATCTACTTGCAACTTCTTGCTTTCGAACTGCTAGATTGGCAGGAGCTGGAACTAGAGACGGGAGCTCACTCCGTCATGCGGCACACTTGGGTCTCGAACTGCTGAACTACTGACCTTCCACAGCCTGCAGTTCAGCGTCTTAACCACTTGAGCCACCGCAGATGGAAAAAAAGAACACTCAAAAATTCCATGTATCCTCACTGACTGAGAGCAGAAATTTAACACAACAGAGAAGAAGAAGAAGATGCAGAAGAAGAAGATGATGATGATGATGATTTATCCACTGCTATTCACTCAGAGTCTCAGAGCAGCTTACAATCTCCTTCCCTTCCTCTCCCCATAACAAGCACCCTGTGAGGTAGGTGGAGCTGAGAGAGCTCTGAGAGAACTGCTCTTGAGAGACCAGCTCTGAAAGAACTGTGAAACAACCATGGTCACTCAGCTGGCTTCATGTGGAGGGGTGGGGAATCAAACTTGGTTCTCCAGATTAGAGTGAACTGCTCTTAATCACTACACCAAAAAAAAAAAAAAGTATGCTGAGAAGAACCAAGAAACCATCATTGTTTAGAGGCTGTAGTTGGGAGCAAATTGAGCAAGATTTAGTAAAGTTTTAATTTAAAAATTGTGGAGTTGGATTTATAACCTGCCCTTCTCTTGGAGTCCCAAAGCAGCTTACAGTCTCCTTCCCCTCCCCTCCTCTCCCCACCAGAGACACCCTGTGAGGTAGGTGGGGGCTGAGAGAGCTCTGAGAGAGCTGTGACTGACCCAAGGTCACCCAGATGGCTTCACATGGAGGAGTGGGCAATCAAACCCACTTCTTCAGATGAGAGTCCGCCACTCTTAACCCACTACACCAAACTGGCTCCCAGTCTGCCGGTTCATTTTGGTTTAAGTTATATTGGTCCCGGGTTATAGTCATTCTAGGAAACCTCTCTTGAGTTCCATGACAGAAGAAAGGTGAGATTTAAGTCAAACAAATAAATATTCTTGGGCCTCTTGTCGCTGCTCTGCCTCAAATACAGTCATTACTGACAAGTTATCTTTGTAATTCTTTATAAAGTGTAATGTTTCCCATAATAGTGTGCTTCTCTGCCCTCAAGGGGATCCTCTCTACCTTTCTCTGTCTATTCAGGAACCACAGTGAGTTAGGAAGAAGAAGAAGAAGAGGCAGAGGAAGAAGAAGGAGAAGAAGAAGGAGAAGAAGAAGAAGGAGAAGGAGAAGAAGGAGGAGGAGGAGGAGGAGGAGGAGGAGGAGGAGGAGGAGGAGGAGGAGGAGGAGGAGGAGGAGGAGGAGGAGGAGGAGGAGGAGGAGGAGGAGGAGGAGGAGGAGGAGGAGGAGGAGGAGGAGGAGGAGGAGGAGGAGGAGGAGGAGGAGGAGATTGGATTTATACCCCGCCCTTCACTACCCGAAGGAGTCTCAGAGCGGCTTACAAACTTCTCTCCCTTCCCCTCCCCACAACAGACACCCTGTGAGGTAGGTGGGGGCTGAGAGAGCTCTGACAGAAACTGCTCTTTTTACAAGGACAGCTCTTATCAGAACTATGGCTTGCCCAAGGTCATCCAGCCAGGTGCAAGTGGAGGAGGGGGGGAATCAAACCCGGTTCTCCCAGATTAGAGTCCGCACACTTAACCACTAGACCAAACTGGCTCTGTGTCCTCTCCATCTGGCAAAGCAGTTCCAGTTTTTTTTCTTTTGCTTTCATTTCACTGGTGTCCCACCGAAAATTGAGAAGATGCCCTATAATTCACCCAACCTCCCTATTGCGCTGGTATATTTGCACAGGAAGATACAACTGTCTTTCAGGGAAGCTTGTCTGCCTTTCTGGAACTTCCTTTCAAGTTAATGATAAGCTTCAGAAATATCCTGGGGTTCACACCAAGCCAGAGAGAAAACCAGTGACCTTATGGCATCCAAAAGGAACTTACCTGACTCTCCAAGAAGAAGGCAAGAGTTAAGCCGATGGAAGATGCTGTTGGGAGAGCATCATGGGGAGGGCTTTTTATACAGTCTCTGCGGCACATGTAACACGTTTGTAGTGATGTACCCCCATAATTAAATGCCCATTTCAAATCTGATATCTATGCAAGATTTCATATTGCCGTGAAGTTATAGTTTACCACAATGTTTAGGTTTATATTGGTCTAGCAACTTCGTAACTGGATATGATGGCTGTGTTACACCCAGCAGACACGGTAAGACTCCAAATGTTATGGGAAAAGATTGAGGGATAATTGTATCATTGGTTTCATTGGCATGCATCATATTACGTACAAAATGGGTCTGATTCCATACCCTAAAATCACATAAACTGGGAGTTTCCTTTCCATACTGGACCTTCCTTGGTTCCTTGCCATCCTTCTGTGGTATTGTGACGAAATCTTGCACAATGCTTTAAGCAATACTTTCCCAAAATTAATAGCTTTGACTTCTGGTATACACATCATTTTGACAGGGTTGGGACCTTAATGATAATTGATCATAGAAACCTATTTCATCCCATAGAAATATATGGTCCAATAAATGCAGGGTTATCAGGCTGGATACTCCAGATAGGCCTGGAAACATTTTAATAACTGAGGGGGAGGTGTTAAGAAGACACTGGAAGGCCTGGCGTGATCTGGTCCATGGGGTTGTGAAGAGTCGGACTCGACTGTGCGACTGAACAACAAAAAATATAGTCAATGTTGTTAGGTTCAGTGATCGTGTTATCTGGGTGTCTGTGGCAGCAAAGTTGGCATCTGGGTTTATTACAAGCTCTGGTCCCAGTATCCATGTTCAAATTAGACGTTGCATTATTGTGGGTGAGGGGTTGTTTGAAATTGGGGGGCTTTCTGTGTGCAAGAAAAAGGTTTGCCCCCCCCCTGTACTTGTGAAAGAGAGCTGTCATTATCCAGTAGAGGTTGTAAGAAATGCTCCCTCTAAGCTGTGGAGTCTTGTGAGCAAAAATTCTACTTTGTGAGCTACTGGCATTAAAGTTGTGAGCGAGCAATTTGGTTACTGTATAAAGTAGTTCTCTGTGGATCCATCCTTCCTGAGCTAAGGCAAAAATGTGTGAGCCGGAGGCTAAAAAACTGTGAGCTAGCTCACACTAACTCAGCTTAGAGGGAACACTGGTTGTAAGTCATTATAGATGATGTGTTGGAAACCAGACCCTGACAGCTGAGAGTTCTGAAGATTTCCCCCACCTGACCATCTCAGAGCATCACAGTTCTGCTAGCTGTATGAATCCTGTATCTAATCTTATCTTGTTTCCTTCCTTGTCACAGCTAATTGTCCTTAGGGGTTCAGAGGGAGAAGAATCAGGGCAATTAGCCAAGAGATAAGATAAGTGTGTGTCTGCTGTTTTGATTTATGTTCAGTATGCAGTTCAGGCATGTGGCTCTGAAACTGTACAGACAGCCACATAATTACTTATGTTACTCTTCTTTCTGCAAAAAGCTCAGCGGGCTTAGGGACAGACGATTCCCAAAGAAAGACTCTACAACTAAGAGGGAGCATTGTTTAATAGAAATCCCCCTCTGCATTGCATGATGCTTTTGGTTTCTTTGATCATCGGGTTTTATTGTAGCCTCCACACGGCATGCATGGCATCCGGCCCCATCACTCCTTGGCAAATAGAAGGGGAAGTTGTGGAAGTAGTGACAGACTTCACGTTCCTGGGATCCCAGATCACCGCAGACTGTGACAGCAGCCATGAAATCAAAAGATTTCTGCTCCTTGGGAGGAAAGCGATGGCAGAAAATCACTTGCCCCAGAGCCCCTATCTATACATTGTGGCTAATAGCCACTGATGGACCTGTGCTCCATATGCTTATCTAATTCCCTTTTGAAGCCGTCCATGCTTGTAGCCGCCACCACTTCCTGTGGCAGTGAATTCCATGTGTTAATCACTCTTTGGGTGAAGAAGTACTTCCTTTTATCCGTTCTAACCCGACTGCTCAGCAATTTCATTGAGCATTGGGAGGAAAGCAATGGCAAACCTAGACAGCATAATAAAAAGTAGAGACATCACCCTGTCAACAAAAGTCTGCATGGTCAAAGCAATGGTATTCCCAGTAGTAATATATGGCTGCGAGAGCTGGACCATAAGGAAGGCCAAGCACTGAAGAATAAATGCTTTCGAATTATGGTGCTGGAGAAGACTCTTGAGAGTCCCTTGGACTGCAAGGAGATCAAATCAGCCAATCCTAAAAGAAATCAACCCTGACTGTTCCCTGGAAGGCCAGATAATGAAACTGAAGCTCAAATACTTTGGCCACCCAATGAGAAGGGAGCACTTACTGGAGAAGACCCTGATGCTGGGAAAGATTGAAGGCCAAAGAAGACGGGGACGGCGAAGGATTAGATGGTTAGACAGTGTTATCGATGCAATGAACATAAAGTTGAGCAAACTCAGGAGGAGGATGGAGGACAAGAAGGCCTGGCGTGGTGTGGTCCATGGGGTCACAAAGAGTCAGACTCGACTGTGCGACTGAACAACAACAACAACAAAAATGTCTAACGTGGTCTGAAAAAGTGAGCAGTGACTTATGAAAACTCATACCCTACTGCCAATTTTGTTAGTCGTTAAGGTGCTCCTGGACTCTTACTATTTTCTAATGCTTTTTTTTAACTGATTTTCTACTGCTACAGATGGACGAACATGGCTAAACACCTTGATCTAACATTATACCTAGAATTGCAGCATGTGATTGGATGCTGTTTTATGTGTATACCCAAGCTCAAGTGGTTAAGACGCTGAACTGCAGGCTGTGGAAGGTCAGTAGTTCAGCAGTTCGAGACCCGGGTGCCACATGACGGAGTGAGCTCCCGACTCTAGTTCCAGCTCCTGCCAACTTAGCAGTTCGAAAGCAAGAAATTGCAAGTAGATAAATAGTTACCACTTCAGTGGGAATGTAACAGCGTTCCGTGCGCCTTGGTGATTAGTCATGCCGGCCACATGACCACAGAAACATCTTCGGACAGCGCTGGCTCTTCGGCTTTGGAACGGAGATGAGCACCGCAACCCTAGCGTCGGATTCGACTGGCTTTCGAGCAAGGGAACCTTTACCTTTACTTTAAGCATACAAATAAAAAAACACTGTCAATGAATGGTCTTAATGTTGTGTGTGTGGGGGGGGGTCTGTGATGTCAGTTTGGGGCTTTTGCCTGGAAATGATGTCACAACATCAGTGATGACATTTCCCCCTTTCCCCTCCCACCAACAACCTGATTGGCAGTGGACATTTGGCTGTGTCAGGGTGGGTGGGGTTTGCCCATCCCCTGTCTCCTGGCAACCTTATCTAAATGTGATTGTATGTGTGAGCTTATCTGTATTCCTTGTTGTGTAATAATTTATATTAAAGCACACATGGTTTGGATATTAATGATTTCTTCTTCCAAGGATGGCAAGTGATGCACTGTATTCTTGGTGCTTGGTGGAGGCAACAGTTGAGGGCTTCTGGAGTCCTGGCCCCACTGCTGGACCTCCTGATGGCACCTGGTGTTTTTGGCCATTGTGTGACAGAGTGTTGGACTAGATGGGCCATTGGCCTCATCCAACATTGGCTTCTCATATGTTCTTATGTTGCCTCTTGGCTCTAGGATTTAAATGTGGAGGTCCCCCTCAGCTACCACAGCTAGTAGTCACTGATAGACTCATCCTCCATGAATCTATCTATAGGAACATGAGAAGAGCCCTACTGGATCCGACCAGTGGTCCATCTAGTCCAGCATCCTGTCTCACATAGTGGCCAACCAGTTCCTCTGGAGGGCCAACAACAGGGCATAGATACCCAGTGCCTTCCTCTGATGTTTCCTCCTGTCACTGGTGTTCAGAGGTCTCCTGCCTCTGAATATGGAGGTTCCCTTTTGTCCCTTCAGTCAACATTGCTAATTGCCACAGATAGGAACAAAGAACCTTAAACTGACATCACTGCTCTTTTGCTGTTTTTTACCAAAGCACATTGGAAATACCGGAGTGTGTGGAAGATACACCAAGGGATGCTCTAGGTGGATCCTGCATTGAGCAGGGGGTTGGACTAGATGGTCTATATGACTTTCTTCAAATACATTAGAAACAGGAAACCAGCCAGGGAGGCAGTGGGGCCCTTGGACGACCAAGGGGTAAAAGGAGTATTGAAGGATGATAGGGAAATGGCTGAGAAGCTAAATGCATTTTTTGCCTCCGTCTTCACTGTGGAAGATGAGAAGTGCTTGCCCACTCCAGAACCACTGATTTCAGGAGGGGTGTTGGAAGACCTGAGTCAGATTGAGGTGACGAGAGAGGAGGTCCTAAAACTGATAGACAACTTAAAAACTGATAAATCACCAGGCCCAGATGGCATACATCCGAGAGTTCTGAAAGAACTCAAATGTGAACTTGTAGATCTCCTGACAAAGATATGTAATCTTTCCTTAAAATCTGCCTCCATTCCTGAGGATTGGAAGGTAGCTAATGTCACTCCCATCTTTAAAAAGGGTTCCAGAGGAGATCCGGGAAATTACAGGCCAGTCAGTCTGACGTCGATACCGGGTAAATTGGTGGAAACCATTATTAAGGAAAGAATTAGTAGGCACATAGATGAACAAAACCTATTGAGGCAGACTCAGCACGGTTTCTGTAAGGGAAGATCTTGTCTCACTAACCTGTTAGTGTTCTTTGAGGGGGTGAACAAACATTGGGCTAAAAATACCATTGGATGACTTTGGATCCTAGCCCAGGATGAAGCTTAACATTACAAGTCTATGAGATGTTTCACATACATTCTGCATTCCATGGCAGCTTTGGAATACACTACACCTTCCATCCTCTACACTGGACAAACAGGCCAGTCCCTTCAACAAAGAATTGATGGACATAGGTCTGACATCAGAAACCACAACATTCAAAGCAGCGGGGGGACAATTTAACCTTCCAGGACATTCAGTTGCTGACCTAAGAGCAGCCGTTCTCTCACAAAGGAATTTGTAAGGGAGATTAGAAAGACAGACTGCTGAATTGGGTGTCAACATGGCAAATGGGGTTCAATGTGGCCAAGTGCAAGGTGATGCACATTGGAGCCAAAAATCCTAAATATAAATACACATTGATGGGGTCTGAACTGGCAGAGACTGAGCAAGAGAGAGATCTTGGAGTTGTAGTGGATAACTCACTGAAAATGTCGAGACAGTGTGTGACTGCAATAAAGAAGGCCAATGCTATGCTGGGGATTATTAGGAAGGGTATTGAAAACAGATCAGCCAATATCATAATGCCCCTATATAAATCAATGGTGAGACCTCATTTGGAATACTGTGTGCAGTTCTGGTCACCACACCTTAAAAAAGATATTATAGCTTTGGAAAAAGTGCAGAAAAGGGCAACTCGAATCATAAAAGGGTTAGAACACTTTCCCTATGAGGAAAGGTTAAAGCGCTTAGGGCTCTTTAGCTTGGAGAAAAGACAACTGAGGGGTGACATGATTGAGGTTTATAAGATTATGCATGGGAAAGAGCAGGTAGAGAAAGAGGTACTTTTCTCCCTTTCTCACAATACAAGAACTCGTGGGCACTCCATGAAACTGCAGAGCGGTTGGGTTAGAACGGATAAGAGGAAGTACTTCTTCACCCAAAGAGTGATTAACACTTGGAATTCACTGCCACAGGAAGTGGTGGTGGCTACAGGCATGGACGGCTTCAAAAGGGAATTAGATAAGCATATGGAGCAGAGGTCCATCAGTGGCTATTAGCCACAAGGTATAGCTAGGGGCTCTGGGGCAAGTGATGCTCTGTCTTCTTGGTGCTTGGGGGGGGTCAACAGTGGGAGGGCTTCTAATGTCCTGGCCCCACTGCTGGACCTCCTGATGGCACTGGTATTTCTGGCCACTGTGTGACACAGAGTGTTGGACTGGATGGTCCTTTGGCCTGATCCATCATTGGCATCTCTTATGTTCTTATGTTCTTATGTTCTTACGTTCTTATCCCTGACACGATTCCTTCAGACTGCTCTTAGGAAGACAGGACTGCAATCTTAAAGACACTTTCTTGAGAATTCCATGGAATGAGATGCTTATAATTGCTCTGTGTGACACCCTCTAGTCTTATGTTCTTATGTTCTTACGTTCTTATCCCTGACACGATTCCTTCAGACTGCTCTTAGGAAGACAGGACTGCAATCTTAAAGACACTTTCTTGAGAATTCCATGGAATGAGATGCTTATAATTGCTCTGTGTGACACCCTCTAGCTTTTATCCAAAACTGCCCCAAACAGTAGAATAATTTTTAGCATTAGAATAAAGGAAGAGTGGGATGGTTTAGATGGGTTAGAAGAAGAAATGCCTGAATGAAGGGGAATGGTGATAGGGGAAATAAATTTGCCCTTAATTAACATAAGAACATAAGAAAAGCCAATGTTGGATCAGGCCAATGGCCCATCCAGTCCAACACTCTGTCACACAGTGGCCAAAAATACCAGGTACCATCAGGAGGTCCAGCAGTGTTGCCAAGACACTAGAAGCCCTCCCACTGTTGCCCCCCCCCCAAGCACCAAGAATAAAAAGCATCACTTGCCATCCTTGGAAGAAGAAATCATTAAGATCCAAACCATGTGTGCTTTAATATAAATTATTACACAACAAGGAATACAGATAAGCTCACACATACAATCACTTGCCCCAGACTGAGAGTTCCTATTTATACCTTGTGGCTAATAGCCACTGATGGATCTCTTTTACCTTTGCACATCTTTTATCTTTGAACATCTGGGACAAACATCCAGTGAGACAACATGGACTCCTTTGGAAGCTACCCTGAGTTCTAGAACACTCTTCTGGGGAATGGAGTCTATAAAGAAAGAGTATAAATGAAATTGCAGATGGTTACACAGGCCAAGGCACTGAGCCTTGAGTTTTTGTTAGAGAGGAGAGGAGAGGAGAGGACTCTTTCGGCCAAGTGAGGAATTTTGTTCCAGCAAATCATCCAAAGCTCAAATATGCAATGAAAGCAACAATTTTAAAGTAGGTCTTTGCAGGTTAAAAACATCATTGGCATCAGGGTTGTCAACCTCCTGGTGTTACCTGGAGATCTCTTAGAAATCGCAGCATCCAAAATTGCATTAAGATTTGATCTGAGGGTAGGAAGGGGACCACCCTGCTTGGATTAGAATGGTAGAACTTCACCAGCCACGGTAGAAAGAAATGACAACTTAAGTGAATATAGAGGACATTACAATAACTATGAGAAACTATTTTACCAAGGGAGCAAAAGCTAATTCTGTCAGAATAGGGAAAATGCAGAAAAGCACCGTCTTGTAACCTCCATTGAATGGACATTCATCTTAGCAAGAGGAAATGTCCTAAGAGGACCAGGTAAGGTCAGACGATAAGCACAGGAGGGAAGAGAATTTGGGGGGAAGGATTCACGACATTGTGTAGAGCAAATTCATTCCGCACAAAATATAGAACTATTGAAATCAATCTGCTTACTGCATTTTTAAAAATTAGAATAAGGTGGGGGGATTCTGTGGAGTTATACCCAAAGGGGGGCCCTCCCCTCCCTAAAGTTTCCCCCTCCCCAGGGCTCCGCTCCCAAATCTCCAGGAAGTTTCCAGTCCAGAGTTGGCAACCCTACACTGGATATTGCCTGCAGCAGCTTTGCTGGGCCCTTTGAAACAACTGCAGTCTGGCACCTTCCGATGCAGATGGGAAGAGAACATCTCCTGGGAGAGGAAAACATTGAGCAACTTTAGCAAGAGGCGTAACTGCTCCTTCCATCAGTAATTACACGCCACTTTGCATATGCTAATCATAGCAAGTCACTAATTCCTTTGATGTCCTTTGTCCTGAGAAAAGGCACACAGCCTCCACCCTGGTAAGTGTTCTTATCTCCGCTTTATGGGCCACTTAACCAAAGGATTACAAGATCCCCTGTGTTGTTCACACTGTCCTTTGGACAAAGGAAGAACAGGCCAAGGGCGTTTCCAGAAGCTAAATGCCAAATTAAAAAAAAACAAAAACAGATGTTGAAATTTCATAACAGTTTGTTGCTGATGCAGGGCCTGACACATTAAGACATATAGATTGCAGCTGTCTCTTGAGAGTTGGCGGTATCAGACTTGGACTTCAGAATTTTAGCCGCCTTCTTAGGAGACAGCTCCAGAATAAGGCATGAAGTCCAAGTCTGATACGCTCCAGAATAAGGCATCAAAAGTCCTTTCCGGACTTGGATCTTATCCCTGGTTTTTATCAGAATTCAACTTGGGACACAATGGCCGAGTTCAGACTGGCAATTTGAAGCACCAGGGAGTCGCGGCAAAGAAGACCCGGAACGGCTTGGTCACAGTATTCCCGTTCACACTGCGGCGAATGAAGCAGGAGGATACCATGGAGGAAGTGCAAGGGAGAGTTCGCACTGTTGGCCCGCCCCGGCGGGCTGTTAGCAGCTGTTTCTGTGCTCCGCTGCATGCGCCTATGCGCATGGGCGCATGGGTGCCTGCCACAGAAACAGCCAGCGCCTATTATCAACGACTGCAGGTCATTCCCGCCTTAGCAGCGCTTGCGTTCACACGTCAGGAAAACGGAATCAACCCGCTCTACACACGCTTTCACCTGGTACTTTTTAAACTCTGGAGGGAAGCGGCACAAGATGGTTTGAGTATGGCTGGGGGACGCCTGACAGATGTGCCTGTGTGACCCCGCCCCTTTAATCCGCTCCTGAAACGCTCCTGAAATGTTTGGCTGTTAAGCCAAACTGCCAGTCTGAATTTGGCCAATACTTTGCATTTGTCTCTGGTTATAACAGCACTAACTCAGCTTACAGGGAACTCTGCTTCCCACCCACCTTGGATCATACTAGTGACATTTGACAGTATTCCCATTTTCTTAAAATAAAAAAGGCTATTCGTAGTGTTAATTGCATACAGCCTGGTGTACAATGTCTAAGAGGCTTTAAAAGTCTGTGAGAGGGAGAAATATGGCTTGAGGGAGAGGCAAACATCAGCTGTGCATTTTATTTTCTGTACTTTTTATGGAAGTACAAAAGAAGTAGCAATTACTGCACACATAAAATGCACACCCAAATGAAATATGTGCTTTTCCCCCTTTCTCACAATACAAGAACTCGTGGGCACTCAATGAAATTGCTGAGCAGTCGGGTTAGAACAGATAAAAGGAAGTACTTCTTCACCCAAAGAGTGATGAACACATGGAGTTCTCTGCCACAGGAGGTGGTGACAGCTACAAGCCTGGACAGCTTCAAGAGGGAATTGGATAAGCATATGGAGCAGAGGTCCACCAGTGGCTATTAGCCACAAGGTATAGATAGGAACTCACAGGCTGGGGCAGGTGATGTTCTGTATTCTTGGTGCTTGGGGGGGGGGCAATAGTGGGAGGGCTTCTAATGTCTGCTGGACCTCCTGATGGCCCCTGGTATTTTTGGCCACTGTGAGACAGTGTTGGACTGGATGGGTCATTGGCCTGATCCAACATTGGCTTCTCTTATGTTCTTATGAATGGGGAAGACTAGCAACGGAAAATGGGTGAAACTAAAAAAAGTTCATAATGACAATGTACGAGGGAGGCCTTGCTTTGAAAAGGTTGTGGATAGAATGGAGCGGGTGCAGAGGAGATCAACGAGGATGATCGGGGACCTGGAGACCAAGCCCTATGAGGAAAGGCTGAGGGACTTGGGAATGTTCAGTCCGAAGAAGAGGAGCTTGAGGGGGGACAGGATTTCTCTCTTGAAGTATTTGAAGGGCCGTCACTTAGAGGAGGGCAGGGAGCTGTTCCTGTCGGCAGCAGAGGAGAGGACTCGCGATAATGAATTTAAATTAAGAGCGGGAAGGTATTGACTGGATATTAGGATTATTATTATTATTTTTTACAGTAAGAGTAGTTCAGCAGTGGAATCGGCTACCTGGGGAGCTCTGGCAGTCTTCAAGCAGCTGCTGAATGAACACCTTTAGGTTGACCCTGCATTGAGCAGGGGGATGGAGAAGATCCCTGTATGGCCCTTAGCAGCTCCATTATTCTACGAAAAGAGTAGAAAAGAGCCACTCATCTCCGATTCAGGTCTGGCTTCCAGGATGAACTGGCTGGCCCAAATTGTAAGAATGTTAACATCAGGCCTCCCTGTTCCGCAAATGGCCTTCAGGGTGTAACGTGTTGATAATGCTATAGTGGGATCGCGTAGGGTGAGCAAGCGCCGTGAATGAGGTAAGCCGCAATTTATGGCGATGCCAATGGAGTTTATGTTTTTACACTTGCAGGAGCTAATTAGGAACTTTGCGATCGAGAATGGGTGTTGAATACCTAAGAAACCATATGAAAGCACCACACAAGTCAAGACATCTGCTACGAGTTCTCTTTGTTCCACATTCGCCAGCTCAGAGATCTAAGTAACTGTTCGTTTGATGCATTTGCTGTTTTCAAGTTTAGTTGAAAGGGAAGCTTTTAACCAGGGGTCATTTCGTAGAAAAAGAGGTGAAGGAGCTCATTAGCATAATTCATTAGCGTAACTTTTTTGCATATGCCACACCCGCTGACATCACCGGAAGTGTGTCAGAAGGCAACACCTGTTAAGTCCGGCGCTTAACAATGAGTCGGAGAGTGATTTCAGTAAAAGACTCAAGTTTATTCAGCTCTTTCTTCACTTCTTCGACACGGTACAACATCTGATAGCCCGAACAGTTTGCCCATTGAAACTGCCCGGTATTTAAACATTCCCGGCTAATATAGCCACTCCTACTATACACATAACAACCTATCAGGTTGAGCGCATAAGGACCAATCACAAACGTTCCCGCTTGCAGCTTGCTTGAATGTGATTGGGTCGCGAGTCTTGGACTAGAATCCTCTGTCCAAGACGAAGCTTAACATTGCTTCCCTATGGGAGGTTTCCCATACATCCTAATGTACTCATGGCAGCTAAGAATACATTACAATTCCCTCCCCCCTAAGCAAAAATACCTCATGAACAGTCGTAATCACTTAGGTAGGTGGGTGCACGTCTCGTTCTCTGAGACCTACGAGGTGAACTCGTCTCAGGGCATCTGTCCCTCAGTGGTACTCCGTTTGACTCTGGGACCTCAGAGTCAGGAACATCCCCGTCCGTTGCATGCGGTTCAAAATTAGGGGTCTGCCCTGTCTCTTGACCGCTACTGTAGCCCTCAGGCTCTACAGTACCTGCCTCTTCTAAAGGCCATGGGGGTTCCTCCGCGGACTCAGCCGGCTGCACGGTAGGACGGTCAGTTGCCCACCGCTGCCTCAGCTGGTCTATGTGCCTACGCCACTTGCGTCCATCTGCAAGCCGTACCACATACATTCTAGTACCGATAACATCGGTGACAGTGGCTGGAAGCCACGAGTGACCACTGGCATAGTTACGAGCATACACTTGCTCACCCTTTTCGTATGTCCGGACCTTCGGACTCTCGGTCTGTGGTTGTGGTTTCAGATCGTTCAGATCTGGATGCAACCTGTCTAACAGCGTTGCTAAACGGCGACCCATTAACATCTCGGCCGGGCTGCGGCCTGTCGCCGAACAAGGGGTAACATGTTGTCTCAGGAGAAACGAAGCTAGTTTCACCCCCCAATCACCACATACCAGCTTTGCAAGGGCTTCTTTAGTTGTTCTCACCATTCTCTCGGCCTGCCCGTTTGAGGCCGGGTGAAACGGCGCGGCCGTCATTTGCCTGATCCCGTTATCAGACAAGAACCTCCTGAACTCCTCGGAAGTAAATTGTGCGCCGTTGTCACTCACGAGTACGTCAGGCAACCCGTGAGTGGCAAACAACTGTCGCAGCACTGTGACGACAGCGCTAGAAGTGGTCGATCGCATGTGAGCCACTTCTAACCATTTGGTATAAGCGTCTACAATTACCAAAAACATTTGCCCTTGTACTGGCCCTGCGAAGTCGAGGTGCAATCTCGACCAGGGCTTTCCCGCCGACTCCCATCTCTGAGGAGTGGCGGTTGGTGGTTCAGGCCTAGCCTGCTGACAAGGCTCACACACCCGAACCCACTCTTCAATGTCGGCGTCTAGCCTGGGCCACCACACATACCCGCGAGCTAGCGCCTTCATATGGACCATGCCGGGATGGCCCTCGTGAAGTGATTTCAGCACTTTTTCCCTGAGTTTGTGAGGGACCACCACCCGGCTTCCCCACAAAAGACATCCCTTTGACACAGACAGCTCGTTTTGACGCATTTTGTAACACGCAAATTCTGGCTCCACAGAGCCCACAGGCCACCCCCTCCAAACCCAGTTCAAGACCCTGGAGATCACAATGCCTTTAGCGGACGCAGCCGCAATGTCCTTGGAGGTGATCGGAGCCTGGGACAGTTCATCAATCGCTAACACCTCGCTAGCTGGAGCTGGGTCTGAGTCCAGGCCGGGCAGAGGGCAGCGACTCAAAGCGTCCGCGTGACCAATCGCCTTACCCGGCCGATGTTCTAGGTCGTAATCGTAGGCGGACAGGAACAGAGCCCACCTCAGCATCCGCGCTGACATGATGTTGGGAAGTTGCCGGTCCGGGGCAAAGATTCCCAACAGGGGCTTGTGGTCGGTGACAAGGAGAAACTTCCGACCATACAAAAAGTCATGAAACTTTTTAACTGCTGCAACAAGCGCCAGTCCCTCCTTGTCGATCTGGGCGTACCCCTTCTCCGCGCTTGACAGTGAGCGGGAATAAAATGCTACGGGAGCTTCCTCGCCGTTTGGCATCAAATGGCTGAGCACCGCCCCCACCCCATAAGGAGATGCATCCGCAGCCAACACCAACATTTTATTATCATCGTAGTGAGTCAACACTGCATTGGACACCAGTAATGCCTTGACTCCTTTGAACGCCCGTTCCTGCTCTGACCCCCACCGCCATTTTGCCTCTTTGTGCAGGAGGGCATGTAGTGGGGCCGCTACCGACGCCTTGTGGGGGAGGAAGGCGTGGTAAAAATTGAGGAGTCCAAGGAATGCTTGGAGCTCCTTTTTGTTCCCTGGACATGGGGCATCCTTAATTGCCCTCACCTTGTCCTCTGTGGGGTGGACACCATGTTCGTCGATCCTGAACCCCAAAAATTCCACACTGGGAACACCCACTATACATTTGGACTGTTTCACCTTAAGTCCCGCTTGAGAGAACCGTTTCAGTACCTCTCGAACTCTGCTCATGAGTTCCTCATCGGACCTCCCAGCCACCAACACATCGTCAAAATAAGGGACAGTCCCCTGAACTCCCCTCAGTAACCCTTCCATGAGGCCTTGGAACACTCCTGGAGCCACGTTTACCCCAAACTGGAGCCGGTTCACTCGAAAAGCCCCTCTGTGGGTGACGATTGTCTGCGCCTCAGCCGCCTCCCTGGTCACAGGCAGCTGTTGGTAGGCTTGGGCGAGGTCGAACTTTGCAAACACTTTCCCCCCTCCCAGTGACGCCAGGACGTGGCTGATTACCGGGACAGGGTAGGAATGCTGCTGCAAGGCACGGTTGATCGTGCACTTATAGTCAGCGCATATTCGGATGGAGCCATCCGATTTTACTGGCGTGACTATAGGCGTCTCCCATTTGCTAAATGGGACTGGCTCCAATACTCCTTGGGCTATGAGCTTGTCCAGCTCGGCTTCGATCCGTGGTTTAAGCGGGATTGGCACCTTCCTATACTTCAACCGTATAGGTGTCACAGATGGATCGAGCTCAAAAGACACAGGGGGCCCTTTGTACTTTCCCAGACCGCCCCCGAACACATCAGGAAATTCATTATAAAGTACAGCCCATTTATTTTCAGATACGGCATTCACCCCAGTAAGTGCTATCCCGAGTGGTTCGAACCACTCCAATGCGAGTAAATTTACCCGGTGACCCTCGGCAATCAAACATGACAATTCAACACATTTCCCTTTGAATTCGACCATAAAGGTGTCCCTTCCCGCCAGAGGAATGCGCCTCCCCTGGAAATCGGACACCTGCGTTTCAGCGGCTTTCAAACGCCGCCGGCTCCTGGTCGGGAACATGCGCTGCCAGGTGTGGGATGACAGGACGGTCACGGACGATCCGGAGTCGACCTCCATGCTGCAGGGCACTCCGTTGAGGTTGACTGTGACGTGGATCTTTCCCGTCCCTCCGACTCGACGAACCGCAGGCTTGGTTGACAGACTCGATGTCGTCTGACGGTCGTCCTCACGATGTGCTGCTCGTGAGCGTTGATTCCGGGGTGATGCTTCTGGCGTGGACCTCCTAATTGCTCTGCAGGCTCGAGCGATGTGGCCCATTTTGCCACACTTACGGCAGGGGACGTCTTTCGTCCAACACTGCTCACGTGGGTGCTTCCCGCCACAGCCTGCGCAGGCTGGGCTGGTCGAAGTCTTCACTGGGGTCCGCTGGTCTGCCTTCTTTTTGACGATGCAGACGTCACTCAGCTTACCCTCGCTGTCACTGTCGGCCCCCTGGTGGTGAACGCGCAGCTCCGTCGCTGCCAAACGCTGACGCACCTCTCGGGTCGACTTGTCGGCTGCTTCCGCGGCGATGGCCTGGTCGTAGGCCGTTGCCCAGGTCAGCTCCTTTCTAGCGAACAGCCTCTGCTGCAGCTGGTCGTCCCTCATTCCGCACACTAGCCGGTCTCTGAGGGCCTCTTCCACATTCGCGAAGTTGCAGGGCCTTGCCGCCTTTCGTAGGGCAGCCACAAACTCCGCCACCGACTCGCTGGCCGCCTGACCCCTCTTGTAGAAGGCATGCCGGCACGCAATCTCCGACGGCTTCGGGGAGAAATGTGCCTGCAGCTTCTCGGTCAGGTCCTTGTACGAGACGGTCGAGATGTCCGCTGGTGCCACCAGGGACCGGGCGATGTCGAACACGCTCTTTCCGCAAGAGCTCAGGAGCGTCGCCCGCTTCTTCTCCTCCGTCGTGATGTCGGAGGCTTCGAGGTGGAACCCGAACCTTGACAGGTAGGAGTCCCA